GAATAATAATGTTACCATTCAAATTTAGCCTGTTTTTAGGTTGAAATCTATAGCAGAGAGGAGATGGAGTCGAGCACGTCTGATGTTTCTGATGAAGGTGAGTAACACAGGTTTTCGAGTTAGTAACATCTTTTGGTCTTATTTCAACTACTAGTTCAGTAGTGTTTATAGCTGCGAGGATCTCCTACATTCATTTCTTCACCGCAGTGCACATTTATGATTTTCATATATTTACAATCATTATTAATCACTTGGACGGTTTATTTGGACCCAACTTAATGACCAGCTCCCAGTTGGCTTGTTAGCTCAGTTGGTAGAGCGCTGCACCGGTATCGCAAAGGTCATGGGTTCTAATCCCGTTCGGGCCTGAATTGTTGGCAGGTTTTATTTCAACTACTAGTTCAGTAGTGTTAATAGCTGCGAGGATCTCTTACATTCGTTTCTTCAATGCAGTGCACATTTTGGATTTTCACGTAGTTACCGTTTTTTATAATTGTTAAAGTCTTTGTGCAAAGCTTTTAGCACGTAAGAAGAAGCAGGAAGGTAATTATCTGTGCTAATAAATTATAGAAATCTTCATTATCACACAGCCTTACAAGCTGTGCACTAATCTTCATTATCGGCACAAAGTCTTCTAAGTAGCAAACGGAAGTCGAGATTTTACACAGTCCATACGGATTATTTTTTCAGTTTTGTTTTATTTTCACTGATGGAGAAAGGTAACCATCCTGGCAATGGATCATAGAAATCTTCATAAGCACACAGTCTTACAAGCTGTGCACTAAACGAGAAACGAAAGTAGAGATGGATTTATCTTAGTTACCGTTTTTTCTAATTGTTAAAGTCTATATGCATAGCTCTATTATAACCTGACTCTTCTGACTCTGCTGACTATCAATTCCTCCTCTTTTAAACTTTTAAACATGGTCTACATACGGTCAATAAACTTATATGTGATAATTCAGCACTCATGTGTCGTAGGGTTCTCGTAAAATCAGCGGCTGCTCGGATATATTTTTATACCCAATCGTAATTCCTCATTTCTTTTTCTTTTCAGCGTGGGCTAGGGAGCTGGAAGGTAATTATCTGTGTTAATAACTTGTAGAAATCTTCATTACTGGCACAAAGTCTTCCAAGTAGCACACGGAAGCAGAGATTGTAAAAAGTCTGCATGGATTATTTTTTCAGTTTTGTTTTATTTTCACCGAGGGAGAAAAAGAGGGAAGTAAACCATCTGTGGCAATGGATTATAGAAATCTTCATAAGCACACAGCCTTACAAGCTGTGCACTAAACGAGAAACAAAAGTACGGATGGATTTATCCAGGAAGATAACGTAGTTACCGTTTTTTCTAATTGTTAAAGTCTTTGTGCAAAGCTCTATTATGGTTTATGTACGCTGACCAAGTTTGATTAGATAACTTGACTCTGGTGACTCTGCTAACTATTAGTTTCTTCCCTTTTAAACATGATGTAAATCCGTTTTCAATGCTTATTCGTGAAAACATCTACGTTTTATATGCTTATAAGCTTATCCGTCTCACAAAATCAGCGAGGGCATGGATGTATTTTCATACCCGATGGTAACGCTTAACTTTTTTTTTTTTTTTTTTCAGCCCGTAAGAAGAGGTATGAAGGTAATTATCTGTGTTAATAAATTATAGAAATCTTCATTATCGGCGCAAGCCGAATGCACTACGATAAAATATCTATTCAGTTGAAATGCCGTATATTATCAGCTTACGTAGGAGCTAAAGGTCTTTAACAGCTATTCGATTTGTAATATTTCCTTTGTAGACAATTCT